TCGTGCAGGACTATCCCCAGCCGATGCTCCGAAACTTTACAATATTTAATTCGTAAATAAAATATTGAAAAAAGTTCCTTGCCCGTGCTGGAAATCGAACCCACGACCTTGCGGTCGTGAGACGGACGCTCTTCCACTGCGCCAATCCCGGCCCCTGGATAGGGATAAAGATGATTGTGATTCGAGATATCATCGAAAATATGTGATGGTAGAGTCTTGGAGCATGTCAGAACCATAGAAAAATCCAAAACCTCCCCTCCCATTTCAGATGAGTATAATACTAAGAGTTCTTTTGCTAACCACATACTAAATTCTGAACATAAATTTGATATGAATCAAGATTTGTAAATGTTACATGTTTGTCAGAAAGGTACTTCATTGAATCTTTTAGAAATGTTTGAAATTAATTCTGCTATCAACAATAATTCTGTCACATCCCTTAATGAACAGGTGAACTGATTGCATAAGATTTTTCAATTCCTTAGAGTTAACCAAGAACCAGATGTTGTTTTGCACCTGCTTTGGTCTCCTCTTTCTTCATTATTCATTTGCTTATATTTCAGATTTGTTACTCAACCATCATTGTTGAAATTTTCTTCCCCATCCCCTCCCAAAATCTTCTCATTGTTATTTATGTTTGAATTATTTCTAACTGCACTACCACTAGTTGAATTCACATTCATCCCAGTGTTTAATTCACTTCAATTGTGTCTCATGCTACTTGTCCATGTCATTCAGACTTCGACTCATGTCAAGGTTTATTCAATTAATTCCGTGTTTTAACCTTGATTTGGGTTTAACACGTTTTTTGGCTTTTGGCCCCATCAATTCTGAATTGATTTTTGGATTTTGAGTGCGCTCTCCCAAGGATACGGGACCCTTCAGTTTTTTCATGTATTACAACCAAACATAGATTTTTCGAGCACCTTGAGTGCTCGTCAAGTTTCCCTTCTGGGACTTGTCTTTTGAGGCCCTTTATTTCTAATGAAAACCTGTTTATTCTGATGAAACTTATTTATTACCAATCACGATATCATGATGACATCAGACATTGGCAAACATGGACTTCTACCAGAGATTATCCTGTACTTCTTTATACTTTTCAGTGGAACCCTGCCCGGAGAAGCCCTTCCAGACAGCACCAGATATTCCATGAATCTCCCTATCATATTCCTTTTGGAATATTGGAATATTCTAGAAATAATCTGGAATATTCCGGAATATCTGTGGAATATTCTCCAAATATGCGAATGGGAATTCCTCAGATAATCATAGAATATACCCAAAAGAATATTCTATGTTGAATGTTCCTGGAATATTCCAATAAACATATTCTAAAATGAAAAAAGTGACCCAAGTAGGGATCGAACTCGTGACCTCGAGACTATCAGAGCAACGCCTTGACCACTAGGCCAGTAATCGAATTGAATAATGTTATACAAATCAAGTTCTTGTGAGAGCATTGTTCGAAATCGGATCATAAACACTTTTTGTTTCAGAATCCCCTTACATCTAATTGATGTTTGATACTCACATCTCTGAAAAAATAAATGGTATTTATGTGTTGAGAAACATAGGAATATTCATGGAATATTTCATGAATATACACCACAGAATATTCAGTTGAGAATATTTCATGAATATACCGCACAGAATATTCAGTTGGGTATATTTCATGAATATATCGCACAGAATATTCAGTTGGGTATATTTCATGAATATACAACAGAGAATATTCAGTTGGGAATATTCCTGGAAGATTCATACCTGAATATTCCCTGAACATGTCCGACTATTCACTTTGGAATATTCCTTTTAGATGTTCCAGAGGCATGTATATTTTCTAGGAATAGCCGATGAATATTCGGAATATACTCCTCCTTTTTAGCATATTTAGAGAAAATTCTATGAATATCCAGTGCTGTCTGGGCTGCCTGCAGAAGCCCTATCTGAAGAGTCCCAGGATGGCGTGGACGGTGATCTGTGAATATGATGACTGCATTTCTGATTTCAATAAAAAAGTTATTTTCAGTGTGTTCATATCTATGCAGTATTTTTATGTTCCTTGCGCCTCTCAGAAAATTTCACATCAAAAGCGTACTCCTCTAGGCGCTATATGAAAGTCAATACGAGAAAATGAATTCACATCCTGAAAAAACACTGAGTACCCAATTTTGTGTAAAGAACCTATATTGAGCGAGAGTGATTTTCGAAAAACGAAACAACTGAATTCAAGACTTTGTATCTCCGAAATGAAGTATTTCTGGACACAAGTTTATGAAGACTTCTTGAAATTTCCTTATTCGTCATTCAAATATTTCATTGTACTAGTATTCAACCGGTCTCATGTAGGTACGATTCGAGCAGACGTATTGCTGTATAGCAACCTGAACGTCTGTAACCTCTCAGCTGAATCCCAGGTAGCACATCATATTGGCTGGAACCCGATTTCATATTGGGCCGATATAGATATATCGTATATGTGAAAAATAATATAGGTCCAATATGAGAGTATATTGGACAAACAATATTGGAATGATAATATTGGTGGAATATTGGTTCAACCTGAGCTGAATATGGATTGTCAGCTACAATATTGGAGCAATATTGGTTGTAAAATTCGTTAACAATGTGTTGAAAATCATATCTATGAATGTTATATAATATTGTTTTACGAATGTCGATACAACAACATCGTATACATATTGTTCCCGACATTTACAACCAATATTGCAATTTGAACATTCTCCCAATGTCGATTCTGAAGCGGTTATGCAATATTGTATATTCAAGTTGCACGACATATCGGTTGGATGTTGTTTTAACAATATTTGAAACATTATATTCACCCATCTTGATTGATATCATTTTATCTATATCATGCGGAAGATTTCGTTTACAATTTGCTTCTTACATCTATAACCAATATCGCGATTTGAATATTGTCCCCATGTTGATTCTGAAGCGGTTGTGCAATATTGTATATTTGAGTTCGACGGCATATTGGTTGAATATTGTTTCAACAATATTCGAAATATCATATTCACCTATCTTGATCAATATCATTCTATCCATATCATGCGGAAGATATCGTATACATATTGTTTCCAACAATTATAACCAATATAGCAATTTGAACATTCTCCACATGTCGATTCTGAAGGAGTTTTCAATGATTCAAATATGAATATCAATAACGGCAATTCAATATGTATCTTATATCGGACATAGAAGAGAAAAACAATATTGTATTTTCAAGTTCAATTGCATATCGGGTGAATAGTTTTCTAGCCATATTCAGAAAATAATATCATCTTATATTGGCTGATATGTGATTCACTATATCATGTAAGCAATATTGTTCACATATTGTTTTGAGAATACATGTCGATAACGAAATTTCGATATTTATTCCATATTACGCACTCCTAAACCGATGTCGACAGATGGCGCTATAAATGATTGGTAACGTACTCTCATTGTCGATCCGACGAGAGAATTTAAATATTGGCTCTAGACGATTGTAAAGTATTATAACCTGGAGTAGGGGTAAACCGTGATCAACAAGGCGGCTTCCCTAGGGCAAGGCCCTCCCATTGCACTCCGGCTGGGCTGACCTTTGTGATTACTCCTGATGCGAATAACTCGCAAATATTGGTATGAAAATATTCCACCAATATTTTGAAGACAACATAGCTACATAATGATTTTCAATAATGTACCAATATTTCCAACCAATATTGCACCAGTATATTGATATCACATTTCGTGACCAATATAACTTCACGAATATACCAGCAATATTGGTATGAGAATATTCTACCAATATTTCTGAGACAACATACCTTCATGATGATTTCCAATGATTCACCGATATTTCCATATATTACACCAATATTGCCGAATGTTCATCATTAATTTCTCGCCAATATTGATATTACATTTTATGTCCGATATCACTCTACGAATATTCAACCAATATTAATATGAGAATATTCTACCAACATTTGGAAACTGATATTGTACCAATATCGCCGAATGTTCACATTTTTTTTCTCGCCAATATTACTTTCACAATATTTTGCCGATATTTTCGTAATATTGCACCGATATTGTTCCAATATATGTGTGCTACTTGGAAACTGTCTGTGAACTTCCAACTATAGGGATGCGATACAGATGCGTTATTGCCAACGAAATCTTGAGGAAGGTATGAGAAGCTATAAGTACACGCGTTTCATTGAATGAAAGAAGAAATGAAGATACCGAATGAAGAAGAAGAAGTATTTTTGGCTCGTTTCCTAGAAGTGTCTGAAACCTAGAGACCAAACACCTTATGTGCCTGCTGGCTTCCGCAATGAACCGACATAATGTGTCAAACTGTAAGTTCACAATAGCTATTACTGATAATGAATAGATAGAGAATATATTTCTCTTGTTAGTTGTTTCTATTTGCATGAAAAAATATTGGTCCTAACTCATGCAGAAAGTGTCTTTCCCGCACTCGACTGCTTGCTCGTACTCCGCTTCTCGTCGTTCGTGTCAACGGCGTGCGGGAAATAATCACTTCCCACACTTGTTAGGAAAATAACCATTGCATTGATACGTCGTTCAAAAGTGACATCTAGGACGGATAAAACAAAATATGATAATACATTTTTCTTCAGTTATTCAGAATAATTGTTGTTCTATTGATTGGAAGTTTTCTCGAAATGGCTAAGGATGTTTGCTTTCTCGATTTCCATTTGCATCCGTTAAATTTGCCAGCTCCCATGCCACACATACAAAAACGCCACGAAAAATATATCTTCAGCTTCATTTGAATCAATATACCTACTATCCAAGTAGAATGAATAAAAACAAATATAGACAACTTTTCCCATTATATATTATAAGTTCATATTATAATAAAAATCATTGGTTAGGTAGAGTTGAATCTAGAAATGATGATACTTAGTGAATTGATCACAGTTGGTTGAAAGAGAAATCGTACCTACGATTTATACATATTCGTATCTGGAAACCACATTCGTAATCCTTGGATTTTTGTCTTGTAATAATAATACCTGTGGCTTCACCGGGATATAAGTCTTCTTCTTCATCAAGAATTGAATCTCCTCCAGAGTTTTACCTTTCGTTTCAGGAACATAAAAGTAAATGAAGATAGCTAGCAAAACACCACTGGCAGTAAATATATAGAACGGAACGTGTATCCCACAAATATCTGCTAACCACATATAAATCTGGATACTAAGCAGCGCACCAAAAACAAAAGTAATCTCTCCGATGCTCATTCCACAAGCTTTAACTTTCGCAGGAAAAATTTCAGCGTTTATAATGGGAGGGACGATTCCCAAGCCGAATTTGAAGGTTGCTCCGTAAACCATCACCGCAACCGAAGGCAACCAGCTCACATATGCCACGTCATAATCCGATATTTTGAGATGAAAATATATAGTGACCACTAGAAGACAGCAAGTGGAGCAGACAGTCGAAATTAAGAGAAGCGATTTTCTGCCATACTTGTCAACAGTCAAAGATGCAGCCTGTGCTGATATAGCCATCACTATAGAAAATAGTATCGCCACGATGGAAGAGTCCAAGTATAGAGAACTAGCTGCTCCGAGAATCATATGCAGATTCATGACAGTCACACTACCTCCCACCATATTCAAACCAACATTCAGTACGGTCATGATGATGATTCCTCTTCTATTACTCTGCACCAAGATGAGATCTTGCACTCTGCCAGTCTCAGTCTTCTGCCTTTCTATAGCAATCGTCATTTCCTTCAGCTCTTGTTGCACATCCTGCTTGGGTCTGAAATACTGCAGAGATTTCTTTGCTAACTCAGGTTGATCGATGAATAACAAATAATAGGGAGTTTCTGGTATCCTACTGAAAATCAACAATTCAGCTGTCAGAACGCTTATCCCTATTATAGGTATAATGTAGAATGGGAGATAAGGGCCAATGCAATACATCAAAATGAAACCGAGCGGTAACATGAAGTTGAATATGCCCGATAAGAAGCCTCGTATTCTGCTCTCAGCTATTTCGGCTACATACATTGGTGCTGCCACTGTGAACATATTACTAGTTGTGCCTAAAATCACCCTAGCGGCATGAAGGTAGATCATTTTGTTCGCTGCTGCTATTGATATCCATCCCAGCATGGCTATGCAAGTGGCTAACAGTATCAAGTTTTTCCTGCCTATTCTGTCTATCAGGAGGATGGTTAGCGGTAGTCCTAAGAAGGTTCCAATCATCATTTCGGTTTCTAGCCATGCTGCTTCGTATGGTGTCGTTTCCAGGTGACTGTCTTCGCCGATCAGGTATGGGATCATGGGTGCAGTCCAGCTGTAGTTTAAACCAATGGAGATGGCAAATAGCGTAACTGAAACAATAAAAATAACTTTTCACATAATCTTTTTCTTCAATATGCTGGTAGGTCAGGTACATGACTGAATAGAATGATGCAAGTTCATTATTCGATAGTTCATCTAACCGCCCACTGAACATGATATGTAATAAATGTTTGTCATATTTTCATTATAATTAAATATATTGATAATTATTCGGTCTAGTAGAAGAAAACCATTTCAACTATTTCCGCATGACGTATCCAACATGTGAATTGAAAAGTTTCTGACACGTTCAATCAATATTCAATATTCAATACCATATGTTCAATTCAGGTTTTTTTGATTTATCCCAGACAAAGTAGTAATATTATCTGTTTTCGTGTCTCCGCATTATAACGTGGGTAGCGTATTTGTATGGGATACACGGCGATAATAACATTTTTATATGTTGCGTGTTTGATGAAGTCATTATGATACACAAATGCGTATCGAAACAGGTTTTATCAGGACACGCTGAATCTCTTGTTTCAATGGACCCCGCATGAAAACACGGGAAATTGGCTCTCGGTCGAATTGACTGAAATTTTACTATAATGTTATTGTGGGATAAGTATAAATGAAACAAAATGAGCTAGGAAATGTATTGATCGGAACTCATAAACATGTCTAGTTATAATCAGGGTGTATACGAGGCACGGTCACAAACTTCATTTTTCGGAAAAAAAATTCGAGCACTATTCCAAAACCAACAAGTTATATTTTGGTGGGACATTATAATTTCGGTCTATTATTGTAGGCTTCGAAAACGAATTTTGATTCTTGATAACTATCTCTGTTCGAAATATGAATTTTTAGAATTCGGTGTTGTATCCCTTTTTGAAAACAATTGATAGCTTGTTTTTGATCACAAAGAAAGGGACTTATTGATACTGTTGATTGAATGAATAATAATAATAATGATAATAATAATAATAATAATAATAATAATTTATTTCCAAAGAAAAATAATACAAATGTGAGAAAAAAAAAGATATTATACAAAAAGTATATATACAAGAATACAAATTTAAATCTGAGAAAATCTGATTTTTTCATACATACAAAACAAACAATATTATAAACTTCATCTAGATACAAAGTGTGGAGGATCATTTACATATATGAATAAAATTACAAAAGGAAATAAATCTAGAGAAATCCCACGAAGATAAACTTGTTGTGGGTATATTCAGGATACACTTCTCAGTATATATATTACATACATATCACGAAACACACTTAGGAACACAGAAATACATGTTTTATATTAAAGTGAGTAAGTAAGTGAATGAAATTTGAAATTTATAAAAATCAGCCGAAGGTTTAAAAGTATTTTGATATGCTCGAATGTATAAGTAAAAAAATTTGTCATTAGAATTAAAAATCATAGAAGTTGTTAATTTTGTTGGTATCAAATATCGATAAGTTTCGTAGCCAAATTTTCAGTTTGTTTCTGTATAGAGTTATGTTATTAAGTTTTCTTAGTGACTGCGGAATATGTGAAAAAATTTTAGGAGCTGTAAAGTAAAAAGATCTCTGGCCTATACTCTTCGCAGTTTTTTCAGTTATGAATTCAGATTTTTTTTTATGTCTTGTATTGTGTTCATGTTTGATGAATGTCAACTGATTTTTATTTTTATATTGTAGACACATGACCTTGTAATAGTAAAGCTTAGTTAGGTTGAAAACTGGTATTTCTGTAAAAAGTTGTTCAGTAGGATAGGTGCGATTTTTATTGTAAATTATTTTCAAGAAGAATTTCTGGATAACTTGTAAATTTTTTGTGTGGCAACTATATGCTCCCCCCCAACCGGATATGCCATATTGAATATGGGATTCTACAAGTGAATGGTATAGAATTTTGAGTTCCTTTATGCCAAGAATATTCTTCAGGTGTTTGAAAGTGAATAGGATAGATCTTAATTCTTTAACTACTTTACTAATATGAACATCCCATTTAAGTTGCATATCAATTTCAATTCCAAGGTAAGTTATAGATTCAACTTTTTCAATTGAATGAACTGTGTTATTTACTCTCAAAGTGAGAGTTTCCATATCTGGTGAGTTTGATTTGTTACAAGAAAATGTCATAAGTTTTGTTTTTTCTAGATTCAACTTGAGATTCATTTCGCTAAGCCAACTACTTATTTTTTCGAGGTTCTGTTCCGCTTGGTTCTTTACCTCGTTCCAAGTACTAGCAGTACGAAGAATGACAGTGTCATCCGCAAATGAGGATATACTCAAATTTTTTTCAATAGAAAGAAGGCCATTAATGTACACCAAAAATAATACTTGGCCTAGTACCGTTCCCTGAGGTACTCCGATCGATAGTTCTTTAGGTTCGCTACTCTCGTCATCAATTTGTACATGTTGTATTCTATTTTGGAGGTACGATCTGAAAAGGTTCGACACAGTCCCCCTCAAACCAAGGTCTTCCATAACGTCAAGAAGTTTCTGATGGTTAACGGTGTCGAATGCCTTAGCTAGGTCTAGAAATACACCTATTGAACATTTACCTTCATCTAAAGCTCTATAGATTCCATTTGTTAGATGAACAATGGCATCTTCAGTTAATTTGTTCGATCTGAATCCGAACTGTTTTGGAGAAATAATATTGTTTCTTTCTAAGAACTGCATGAGACGGGTTTTAATTGATTTTTCAATAACTTTTGATATTGCACTGATCAGTGAGATAGGTCTGTAATTTATAGTATCTGTCCGATTTCCTTTTTTAAACAATGGTTTAATTATAGCAATTTTCAAATAGTCTGGAAATTCCCCCTTCTCAAATATAAGATTGATAATAAAGGCTATAACGGTTCTTTAATGAATTCTCTGAACAGTTTCATGTTTTCTGAAGTTATGCCATCGACTCCCGGGCATTTGTGATTTTTCAACTCTTTTATCAATTCATTTACCTCTGCTGCATCGATTGGCTTCATGAACATATTTACATTTATTACATTTCTTTGTACAAAGGAGACTTGTGGTTTTATAATTTGATTTGCCATATTCTTACCTAAATTTACATAGTGGTTGTTGAACAAGTTTGCTATCTCTTTTTTATCAGATGTAATGCTGAGGCAACTCACTAGTGAATTCAGTTGTTCAATATTGCCTTTCATTTAGATACAGGGTGTGTTAAATTTTGTTGAAGATTATTCTACATGTTTCAATTGAATATCTCGAAAACAGTTCCGTCAATTTGGATCTCATTTTACTCACACAATTTTGAATATGTTGACTATCATATGCAAAAAGTTTTTCAATTTTTCATGTTTCGTTTGTGAGATATAAATTTTTGAGTTAACAGTATTACAGGTGTTATAGGGATGCATACCTCAGGAACGAGACATGAAAAATTAAAAAACTTTTTTGTATATAATAGTCAACATATTCAAAGTAGTGTAAGTAAAATGTGATCCAAATTAACGGAACTATTTTCGAGATATTCAATTGAAACATTTTGAATAATCTTCAACAAAATCTAACACACTGAACAACTGAATTTGCTAGTGAGTTACTTCAGCTTTCATTCAATCAACAGTATCAATCGATTCCTTTTTTTGTGATCAAAAACAAGCTGTCAATTGATTTCCAAAAGGGGTAAAACACAAAATTCAAAGAATTCATATTTCGAACAGAGATAGTTTATCAAGGATGAAAAAATACGTTTTCGAAGCCTACAATAGACTAAATCTATAATGTCTCATCAAAATATAACTTGTTGGTTTCGGAATAGAGCTCGATTTTTTTTCCAAAAAATGAATTTTTTGACCGTGCCTCGTATACACCCTGATTCACTATAATTTATGTAATTATAACTAGACATGTATTTTAGTTTCGATCAATACATTTTCTAGCTTATTTTGTCCTATTCATACTAAAAAACAGTTTCTTTCTTTGTCAATCCTACCCCGATGCGAGGTTTGAACTAACTTTGTCGACTTATATCTCAGAAACTAAACATTCAAATCTTCTCAGACTCACATATATTCTTCTGATGAGTCATCCCACAACAACATAGTAAAATTTCAGGCAATTCGACCGAGAGCCAATTTCCCGTGTTTTCGTGCGGGGTCCTTTGGTGATGGTAATGTCAACGTCAATCTCGCAGACACACTATAGCGTCTAGAGACGCAACAAATATCAACGACATAACAGGTATCTTGAGCTCTTATTACCTATCAAAACTGGTTAGTTTTGTTGGGCTGCTATTGAGACGAAATTGTGCTCATTAGTCTGATTATTCAACTAATTGTTTTTGCAATACGACTGTGAGGTAGATGCATCAGAATGTGTTGTAGAAGTTGAAGCTGAAAAGAAAACATTTGAGCTAGCAGAAGTTTATTATATGTAACTTTCAGCAACTGCTGAAGATTTCACCGCCTCTATTCGCTAAATGGGACACACTATACCTTTTCAACTTCAATTTCGGAATCGGTAAGTTATATTTCGGAAAAAGTAATCTCGATTTCAGAATTGGTTAGTTCGATTTCAGAAATGGTAAACCCAATTTCAGAATCGGTGAGATGAATTTCAGAAAAAGTCCATTCAATTTCAGAAATGGTAAGTTGTATTTCAGAATTGGTAGGTTCAATATCATGAAAAAAATCTTTATATTTGTTCAAAATGTTTCCAATTGCATGTGAGATTAACAAACCATATTTAAAATATTCAACTTTCCAAAAACAATTTAATCCACAGATGCCTTCCATCTGATTCGCTGGAAGATAGTGGCGTGTTGCACATGATTATAAGAATGCAAACACATTTGAGGTGTTATCATTTTCATTGAATGATCTGCACATTCTTCAAGACATCGCAGTCTGAATTCTATCTGGTTGAGCAATCTGTTCGGATCTCCAGCTATGACCATTTGGCGATGCTCTTGCAAGAAGCTCTTCACTTCTGACTTGAAGGCACCCCATATTATGTTCAATCTGATCTAACATAGGGCTCTCAAACACCGTTCCATCCACTGTAAACAGTC